TCTGGGTAATGCAACTAAATCAATGTACGTGAACGAACATACCAAAATAAACATTTTGAACGTTGTGTTTGTTGTAGTTGTCATCGTCATCGGTATAATGACACATGAGTGTCGCCGAAAGAGGCCTTTATTGGAAGATGTGTTTTCAGCCTATGTTCTGGGGAAATAAAAATTACGTTAAGTTGGGGAAGTAGTTATGAGACTTTGCGTAAAGGACTCCAACCACTTGCAATTTGGTAAGGCAAAACTTCAAGAAATAGATGTGGTTCGACCCTGTTTCCTTGGTGGTGTTGGCAGTTTGACAGTTTTTTTTCGTTTTTTTTTTTAATGGCATACCTTCCCCTCAAACTTATGTAATAAACATCGGATCATTTATTTCAAAAAATTTACAGGGTGAGATGAAAAACTGCAACCTGCCAACATTGCTTTCCAAAATACTCCAGACACAATAGTCCAACGAATTGGTATCCGGAGATTTTGATGGCCATTGTGCGCTGGAAATGAAGCGTACTGAGTGCGATGGTGCTGAGTCCTGTTGGATGGTCCAAAGTCTGCGGCCAAAATGTTTGCGTGCCCAAGGCTTTAATAAACCCTCCAGAATATTTTCGCGATAATATTCGGCATTTATTCTGATGCCACGGTCGATTAATACGAGTGGAGAGCGACCATCGGCTGTTATGGCGGCTCGGCCCACACCATCACCATGGCCGGCGCTTGAGTTCTGGTAGCAAACCGAAGGTGCACATTTTCAGCTGACCTCTTGGCACGTAAACACGATCATTTTGTTTCTTTACAAACTGCTGGACAGCAAATGTTTTCTAATCGGAAAAAACCAAATTCAGCAGTTCACCACTTTAGGCCAAGCGAAGCAACTCTTTGGCTCTTTTGAGTCTATTTTTTCTGTTGCGGTGCGGTGTAAGTTCTTGCACTTTTTGGAATTTCAATTTTTTCATTTTTCCAATTTGCCGAATGGAATATTGCGATATGTTCAGCTCACAAGCCTTTTTTCGGCCACTGCGACGCGGGTTTCGATCAAGTCGGTTCCCTCACCTTTCGAACCATTTCTGCTGATGTTGCTGTTTTCTTCCGTCCACTTCCTTGGCGTCGAGCTACACTACCGGTATCACGGTAACGAGCGATGGTACGAGACACAAAAGATTTATTCACGTTTAAATGCTGGAATGCTCTAACGATAGCCACTTTTGGTTTTCCAGCCAAATATAAAGAAATCACACTATCACGCTTAAATTCCATCCCGAATAACTTTTTTTCTGGAAAATTCTCACCAAAATGCTTTTGTACGCTTGTGAACAATATAATGAGCTGTCACTGGAATAATTTTAACAGCTGTCGGACGAGTGGCTTAGAAATGACAGCAGTCTGAAGTTGGTTGCAGTTATTTCATCTCACCCTGTATTTTGATTTGAATACCTTAAAAATATCGACTTCTATATAAACCTTTGCCCTTTATTCCGTTATCTGTGCCTTTTCTAGGTTGAGTTTATTGCAATGGTCTATGAAATTTGCAGAAATTCTCATTGAGTTGTTCTATGTCTGTCTCAAAATAAGAAACCAATATTCCCGGGGCCTTAAAAATCCGTCATCTTTGGTAAAATCAGGACAATCTAATTGTGGTTGATGATAATTATGATGGTGGGGTAATGATGGCAGGTTGTGTGTCGTGCGTGTTTCTCATTGAGACGTGGCGTCTGATAGCATTGCACTTGAATTGAACTTTTGTCTTTGTCAAAAGAATAAACAAAGATTCGATATGACTGACATACATCATATATTTCGTGGAAATTTATTATTTCAGCACTCAATGAAGGTGAAGGATATTTTTTATTCTATTAATTTTTATTAAAGGCTTTAATGTGGGAATTTTCCGTTTTTATTTCAGATCGATTTTTATTGTGATTGATTTCGTTACTAAAAATATTTTATTTAAACACTTTTCCTTTTTTATGCTTCTCTTGCCCACCTTTAAATTCCAAATTCTCATTAACACTGAACTCATTGGAAGGATTCTCAATATACAAGGGGTTAATGTAGAAAACACTTGGGTAATTTAAATCTATGCCAGTTGTTGTCATAATGGAAACTATGACACCAACATTTTCGAATACCACCAAATTAGCCAAAAAAAAAAAAACTTCACGACATTTCTATTGCAGCCAAATTAAATTTGCATTTTAAAGGCGATAAGACGCCACTAAAAACAAAAGCTGTTAATTGACGAAAAACAACAAAACTTACAGGCATTTTTAAGTGGACAATTTATACAACGACATTGAGCTTGTCCCCAGTCCCAGGCCGCTGAGCTCGACGAGATAGTCGCAAAGGAAGGTGTTATCATTAAAGGTGTTTCGATTTTAAGTTTAGCCACATTGGCAGTGCTGTCATTGCCTGAGAATGAATAATCCGAACTGATACGAGTACAATAGGTTTCATCGCACGGACAGGTGGCGGTGGCAGCAACGGCGACGGCAATATTGCATTGGGAACTACTATTAATTGTATGCATAGCATGACGAATATGGACAATTTTTTTAACACCACAATTTAAAATTTGAAAGAACCGATTTAAAAATTAGAAATAAATACAATTTAAATAATTTTGAAAATGGAAAATTGAATACGTGACAGGGACACATACAGTAGATCCTGGATATTTAGACTTCCATAGAAATGTTAATTTTATGTGTTTCCACAGAAAAGTTTTAGACCCTATTTTGTAACCGGCAAATGGTACCATTTGGTATATAAAAGTACGTTTGATATTTGAAGGGAGCTTTGAACATATGTACTAAGTGTGCGAACTGCCCTTAATGGTACTAAATTAGTAACAGCTAGGTTTAGCTTGAACGAATAGAGTTGGAATTTCGAAGTTTTGGTATTGGGGTCCTTATTGGTGATAGATTTGTGATAAAGAGGTGGTTTTAGAAATGTGTACTTCAAGTGCTCGAAAAGTACTAAATAGTTCTATATTTGATACAATTTGGTATTGGGTATTGAACCCTAAGTGGGGTAAGTGCCAGAAGACCATATCTTTACTATCTTTAAAACAGATCTTGGGTTGATGGAAATATTGGGATGTGCCAAGTCTGAATGGAATTAGATGTTAATTTCGTTTTTTTTAGCCTCGTGGATATTGAAAATTTTGACCCTGTGGGGGAAGTTCCAAAAGGAGTGGACCGATATATCCTATCTTTACAACAGATCTTGTGTTACAAGAAATAATAGAATGTGTAAGAAATGAAGAGGACCGGATGCTTATTTTGGATTTTGTAATCGTTTTTGTTAATCAAAACTTTGACCCTTTGTGGGGGAGCTACCAGAAGGAATGGTCCGATCTCTATTATCTTTATAACTGATCTTGTGTTGATGGAAATATTGAGATGTACCAAGTCTGAATAGAATCGGATGTTAATTTCGTGTTTTATGAGCTTCATGGATATTCAAAATTTTTAACTTTTGTGGAGGAGATACCAGTAGGATTGGACCGATATATCCCATCTTCACTGCTGATCTTGTGTTAGTAGAAATAATGGGTTGTGTGAAATATGAAGAGAACCGGATGCTTATTTTGGATTTTATAATCGTTTTGGTTATTCAAAAATATGACCCTTTGTGAGGGACGTGCCGGAAGAAATGGTCCGATCTCTACCATCTTTATAACAGATCTTGTGTTGATGGAAATATTGAAATGTGTCAGGTCTGAATGGAATCGGATGTAATTTTCGTGTTTTATGAACTTCATGGATATTCAAAATGTTGACCCTTTGTGGGGAAGGTACCAGAAGGAGTGGACCGATATATTCCATCTTTACACCAGACCCTAGGTTAATAAAAATATTGTTATGTGTGTAATTTGAAGACAATCGGACACATACATCACATTTTATTACAGTTATAAATGTTCAAAATTTTACCCCCTCGTGGGGGAGGTACTTGATGGAGTGGACCGATATTGTCCATTTTCGCACCTCACCTAGAACTGACGTAAATTATAGGATTTGCAAAGTTTGAGCAAAATCGGATTATCGTTTCTTATTCTGTGCAGAAAATATATTTTTTGAAAATTCCGATTTTTTGTGGGGGAGGTACCAGAAGGAGTGGACCGATATTGCTCGATCTAAGTTTGACAAAAATATTACGATGTACTAAGTTTCTATTAGAAATGTTTATTTAATTGTCAAAACAAGGAATATCGGGGGGTTCGTTATACGGAGGCTATACGAAAACATGAACCGATATGGTTCGTTTTTCATACCAATCTTCCTAGACGCAATGTGAACTATTATGCCAAATTTCAATTTTTTATTTTAAATAATATTGACTGTATCCCAATTGCAAAGTACTGACGATCATCTTTTAATCAGCTTAGAAATTTATGCTGATCCCGAATATATAAACTTTATGGGTTCTTTGACAAAAAAAATTTAGAGGTGTTATAAACTAAATGACAAATTTAATATATCCTCCTTTTCATGGTGTCGAATATAAATATAAACCATATCCAGCGAGTAATGTAAACTACAACGAACATTGTGTAAATCATTTGGGAAATGAGTCATGCTTTAGAAATGTATGACCGCTGCTGCTGATAACAACAAAATATTTAAATTCAATACAAGAAAACTAAAACAGTTTTAATATGTTAATCTATAATTACTAAGTTATTGGAAGGCTGTTTTTGTAGGCTACACCAGCAGCTTTGAAATTATTTTTCTCTGGAAGGCAGATTCTCAGTTTTGAATTTTTTAATGATAACAATGGCATTTTATTGTTGTTTAGAATCAGCAACAAATTCCAATAATTATGGACGACATTAAAGAATGTAACATTTGCGCTCCAAAACATTAAACTTCTTATGGCAAGCAAAATGAGTTCAGCATTTTTATGGATTCATGCAAGTGTTTGCTTTCAGTTTCCTCGATTGTTTTCTTTTGCGCAAAATTAAACAAAAACGAAACAAAAAAGGTTTATTAACAACTCACCCATAAATGTATTACATGCCACCTCGTAGTGATCACGCCCAGCCGCACCCCCTCCTCCGCCACCCCCTCCCAACAAGGGTTGCGATTCACGATTATCACTACCACTATGATCCATTATGCTTATTCCGCATTCAAAATCCACATCGGGCACTAGACAAATCTCATCGGTATCATCATGAGAATTTATAGAATCCTGACGTAGATGCGGTGGCAGGGCAACATTACTGCTAAATAGTCTGACCGGTGGTGCGGTGGAGGTTGTTGCTGCCGATGGTATTGCGTATTTTGATGATCTTGATGCGGGCGAATGTGTCGTCGAACTGTGACCGTAGCCGGAACGCGATGGACTGTCGCTGTAATGCTGACTTGCTGATTTTTGACTGCTCTCGTTGTTGTCATCGACATCGGTCCGAAGGCCGGCGCTCACCGAGGGAGAGGTGGTCGATGAGATTGTTATTATGCTAGTGTCGAGAGCATTTAACTGATGCGTAGCCACCAATGCATTTGTGGGAGCAAGTAGTTGCTGTTGTTTGCCATTTGTTGTTGTTGCTGTGCTTGAATTTGCATGGCCATTTAGCATTAGAGTGGAGGAATGTGGTTCGTTGGTTGTATCGCGGGTGTTGAAGAAATCATGTTCATCGAAAGCTAATACCGTTTGTTGTATGGCTGCATCTATGCTATGAGATGTGTGATGTGTTGAGGTAAGGTTTGAAGCCATGGACGACTTGCCAACGCCATTATGATGAATACCATTATCATCGTTGTGGCTGTACTCTGGGTCATCATCATCGTCGTCGTCGTCATGGCTGTCGGGAGTAGTACCTCCCTGTACCGTTGTACCCATGCCACTGTCGTTTATGCCGACCGTATCATCTTCATCATCATCGTCGTCGTCTTGAAGTGATAAGAGCATGGGTTCCTGTTGTTGTTGTTTCTGTGTTTTACTGTTGTTGTTGTTCTTTGGTTTTCTACGTTTCTTTTTGTTGAGACCAATTGTATTTATCTGTGTTTTTTTTTTTTTTTTTTCAAAACATTGCATACACATTAGATTGTGGAACCCATAAGTTGTTGCAGGGGGGATATTTTTTTTTGATATGGAAGAGACAGACAAAACAAACAGTAATTAGCAAATAATAATGTTATCTTTTTTTTTAATGGGGATATGGGAATTATAAATTCTTACCTCAACTTCGGTGGTTAAAAGTTGCTGCTGCTGTTGCATATTATGGCCATTTACTTTGTTGTCCTCATCTTCATCGCTGTAATGGTTCATCAAATCAACTTCTTCCAATTGTACCAATGGAGTTGTTGTCATTTTATTTTATTTTCGTTTCCTGTGTGCGTCCTTACGACGGAAATTCTTCTTGTTATACACTACACTAAACTATTACTTTACTCCCCTAAAACAGGCAATGCCAATGCCCTGCTTTCGAAACAGCCTTATGTTTATGAAAAAAAGTTTTCAACAATCGAATTTATTATTATGGTTTTCTATTCCACACACTTTTGGCAGCTTTTTTCTCACTTGTTGTTGTTGTATTTGTTAATAGTATTAATATTTTGCCTTTAAATTTTATGATTACAAACGAAAATTATTGATTTTTTCTTTGTTTGCGTTGTTAGCTTGTTTTTGCTTGCAAATTCGTCGTAGGTCTTCTCTTTATCGTTGTGGCCTTTCTCTTCTTATTTTTATGACTTTTTGCTAATTAATTATTATTTTATTACTTATTCTAGGTTATTCTTAATTATATATTTTTTAGTTTTTAATTTTTACACAAAAGAATGAGTTTCTATTAATCGAATGCACAAAAAATCAGTTGTCAACTGTCACTTTTTGCGAAAATGACTCTCTCTCAATGTTCTCATTCGTTTGACATGTCGGAAGGGAGGAAGATAAAAAGGTGCGATTAGTGTAACGCAACGTTAAGAGACGTAACGTAATTAGAATATGACAATAATAAAACAAACGGTATTAAATACATAAATATATTAAATATCCAAGGAATTTTATATTTATTTAATATTTCTTATAGGATTACAAGAAAACAGTACAACTCGGACACAATATGGAGGCATAATAGCTTCGTAAAATTACAGTAATACAGCCCTGAGGCTTGTTTTCATTTATTTGATATTTTTGTTCATTTTATAAATGACCCAAATAACGCAAAAGATGAATGAACCGTCTAGATGTTATCTCAAAAATATGATCCTAAGGGTACAATCTTTCGATTCCATGGCAAATCTGGTTAATATCATTAAAGCGCGCCCCGCAATTTAAGTTTCTTCCAATCATTGATTTTGAAAAATTGTAATCAGCTGATAGCTCTATCTTTTTATTGTATCCTCAAGGTCCTCAAGGCATTTTAAATATTAATTTTCTTCAAAATCCTGTTCGTGTTCTTTACAGAAATCACAAAATTTCTCCCATGTTATTGAAATATCATCCGAGTGAAGTTCGCTAAAAAAGGGGAGTTTTTGTAGAGAGGGTTGACGAGAAAGTGATTTTTACTTTATTCAACTCCGTTCCTTACCACGAAATATAATTCTCATTTATCTAAAATTTCACTGTAATTATTTTTAGAATATAGAAGTTTCGCGCCAATACCAATTCATGTGTTGTGATTAACTCTGGTTGAAAGCTCCTTTGTTGGAGACTTTTTTTGAAAGAGAAGGAAGGAAAGAGATCATGAGTTTCCCTTATACTCTTCGTTTTCCCTTTTTTAATTTTCAGAGACGTTTGCTTTTGTCTAAACATAATTTATTCCCTATTATGTATGTATTTTTCCCATTTTCATTCTACGTTGTCAACTTCTTTTGTTTGGAGCGCTTTTAATTTTGTTTGGTAACATTGTTTTGGTTTGGAACGCCTTCAATTTTGTTTTCTTAATTGTCTTGTTGTGGATCGTTTTTAATTTAGGTTGAACGAACAGAAAGACTCCTAGAGCAGCTGGAAGGAAATAGATAATAGCTCCTCAAACATAGCTCATATCATTGGCGCCTAGCAACATGAACGATCCGAACAAAGTGATAAATGTTAATCTCTCGTCGCTGCTAAGTTTAAAGGCGGAATTGTTAAGGAAGCAAGCTGAAGTAACCAAAGCCAAGAATCAAACTGCCACCACAACCACGACATCTTCGCCTGCCGCTAGCGGTCAGGAATATGTGTCCATTAAGAGCCAGAGACCATTACCCGACAACCTGGATGGCGACATAACTACATCCCACAAAAGAAAGGATAAAAAGAAACGTGCCAAAGAGTTGGAAAAATCCGAAGAAAAGGCTGTGTATGAACATGAAGATAGCTTGCTTTTGGAAAAGTCACAAAAGATTTTAGAGGCCAAGGCGAAATTCTATGAACGTATGACAAAATCAGGTGGTAAATTGAATTCCGATGACAATTGTTTGGTCATGTTCAATAAAAAGAAACAGGAGGAGGATGTTAGCGGCGAAGGAGGCAATAATTCAAAGACATACTCATCGGATGAGAGTGATGATAGCAGTGTGGACGATGATTACAGTGACCATAACGATGATCCGGAAGATGATTGGGTCGAATATACCGATTGTCTGGGTAGAACACGGAAATGTTTGAAACGAGATTTGGAAGATGCCAAAAGGAGAGACAAGGAACTGGCTGCCAGTATGCCAGAACGTTTAGATCAAACTAAGGCCAACTGGCTTATCGATACCCTGGGTTCCAAAAAATCGACTAGCCTTAACGGCGACAAGGCGGAAGATGATGATGAAATTATAGGACCATTGCCACCTGCCTCTGTCTTTGGCGATGGCCTATCAATGATGTCCAAGCATGAAGAACAAAAAGCCAACTGGGAGCGCAAAGAACAAGAAAATCTAGAGAAAACCGATGTCCATTATCAGGATGTGTTCTTTGATGAGGCTCGACAACATGGTGTGGGTTATTATGCATTCTCAACGGATGAAGAGGAACGTAAGAAACAACAAAAAGAATTACTTAAGGCCAGGGAGAAAACTTTGCAGGAACAAGAACGTAGAGAACAATTGCGAGCCCAAAGGGAGAAAATAATTGCGGAACGGGTATTGGCTGCCAAGAATAGACAAAGGGCTAGATTGGGACTGCCACCATTGGAAAAGGAAGAAGTGGAAGAAAAGTCCCCCGAAGAAGAGAAAGTCGAAGAAACCAAGGAAGAACGTAAGGCACGTAAAAAGGCAGAGAAATTGGAAAGGAAACGACAAAGAGAGGAAGAGGAAAGAGAGAAGGAACGCCAGCAACATATACGTCCTTGGGATGAGGAAAAAGATGGTGTTAAAACACATAGAGTACAAGCTGGAAAAAATGGCGATGATGATGAAGACGGCGAGTGGCAATATAAACCTGAACGTGAACCCATGACACAAGAGCAATGGAATGAATACAAGCGTAAAGAAAGACCAGCAGAGTTCGCCCCGCCCACTGAAAGGCCTATGAAGCGTACCAATTTCCGTAGCAATACGACGCAGGCAAATTATACAAATGTACCACCTCCCGCAATGGAAACATTTGATGAACCACCACAGCCCTCTAGGTTTAATACCTTTCAAAGTTCCAAAAGGAAAGAGAAAGTTTTTAAACGTCGTAATTATGACGAACAACAACAGCACCAGCAACAGAATGATGACTACGATGATTCCAATGCCCGGCAGAATGGTGTTTGTATACCTCCGCCCTCAAATTTGGAAGATTTCTTTTTACCCTCCCATGCCAAGAAACCAAAAACCGCCAAAGAAGTTGAAAAATCCATTGAGGCGGGTTTGCGATTCATACGTGAGAGCTGTGACAAACAAATGCCCGCCACCAAATCCTCATGGACCGCCAAGGCTGATTATTGAACTGAGCCATATATGTTTGTTAAGTTTAATATTATATTTATGTTTTATTGGCTATATAAACAAATTGCTTATTGTCTGTATAAAGAATGTTGATTTATATAGTAGTATTTTTTAAGTTAGTTATAGTTTATGACATACAGTTATTTGTATGTTTTATTTAAGTTTTCAATTGCTTAAGTTGTTTTTGTCAAACTGTTTGGAAAATTACGGGTTTCGTTTATATTTTTTGTCAAGTTTTGGAATTTTTATTTCTTTTCAGAATCTGAGATATAATCAAAAATTTGTTGAAAAAAATATATTTTTTTAACCAAATAGAAAAATCCAAAGAAATTTCAAGCTTGCGATGAGAACTACCTGATGGATAACATATAGTAAACGATTTTGGAAAATAAAAAGAATAAATACATCACATATTAAAGAAACCTGCGGTAAAATGAAATAAAAAGAAAAAAATCTTATTGTAATTGTTCGACAGAAGACGAATTCATAGAAGGCAAATAAATCAAAAGTGTTTATTGAATAGTGGACCTAAAAAGTCAAAGGAAGTTCCAAGGGTAGAAAAATAGAAGGCCCTAGGTGTTGTATACACAATTGGAGGTTCCAGGGTCATCATCAACATCCCAGAGTCTTCTATAAACAATAAAAGGACAAGGCCTTCAAAAGGTTATAGAAGATTCTTACTCTTAGATATATGTCTTCTATAGATAATAAAATAACCCTAGTGCTTCAATAGACTAGACTAGGCTCTGAGTATTTGATAGAGAATAGGATAGGGTCTTTTATAGTCAATTTTAAGTTCCAGGCTCATCTACAGACAAAATATAATACCAAGGTCAAAATAAGTAAAAAAAGCATTAAATTCGGACATGCCGAACTTTGAATACCCCCCACCATTTGGAACGAATTTGGAAATTTTCAAACAATTGCAACAAAAAAATAATATCCGTAAAAATTCTGTTAAAATCTTCAAAATATCGAATATAGCTGTTATATTGGGGTCTATAGGAAGATGTGGACCTGCATAGTGAAATTTGGTTAAAAGCCATTACAATATTATGAAATACGAAACTTGAAAAAAAAAAAATCGGTTAATAATGTAGCTAAAATCATCAAAATACTGAATATAGGGAGGTATATCGAGGCTATACGAAGACCTGAGCCTGCATAGACAATTTTCTGCCACAGGCTGTAGTACCTATTAAAAGATTAAGAGAATAACACTTGTGCGTTTGTCAGGATTTACTTTAATGGTACATAAAACGTTTATTGATTTAATTCATATTACGAAAACATAAAATAACAAAGGAATTGTTCGATGTGAAAACATAAAATAATTTTAAAAAACTAAACGAAATGGAATGCGCGTATGCGCTACGACGTCTATGCAACAACTGCTCGCCAATCCGGGCTGCTGCTACGTCTTCCTCTTCTCTTCGTTAAAAATTAATTCGATTTTGCATAGTTGCAAATTATCGTACTCTTACAGTCGGCCATCCTGTCGATCAATCGTCCTCGATTGAAACTTCTTCTTTGAATCCGCTTTCACTATTGTCGTCATCGTTGGGTGGTAGGGTACACCATTGTTTTAATTTATCAGATGCGTGAATTGATTTATAATGACGTTGTTTTCGGTTAGCACCTGGTAAATCTTCAATAACATATCGATCGTTTTCTAAAACGTGCGTTATTATAAAAGGACCTTTATATAGGGGCTCTAACTTTCTAGAATGTCCAGTAGCTGTTGGTTCGTTTTCTATTAAAACCAGATCACCTTCCTTATATCGTGTTGGGCTCGCATGACGTTTATCGTACCGTTGTTTCTCGACTTGTCGTTGCTGGTTAATTCGATTAGCTGATTCGTCTCGTATTCCCTGCATGTGCTCTTCATCAAATGTTTCGCTGTGATGCAACGCTAATACTAATTTGTTCTGTAGTATATCTCTAGGTTGATACGCGAATAATAATTCTTGTGGTGTACGGCCAGTAGTTTTGTTTTTCATTGTATTTATTGACCATTGGATCCGTCGTATTTGTTCGTCCCATCGTCTATCTTCTTTCACCATTGGTAGAAGCATTCCAAGTATTGTACGGTTTGTTCTTTCGGCGTGACCATTCGCTCTAGGTGTTCTTACTGCGTTAAGAATATGTTTAATATCATTGTCTTGACAAAACCGATGGAAATCTTTGGAGGTGAAAGACGTTCCTCGGTCCGTTATGATGCGTGTTGGGAATCCAAAGTATTCACTGATTTCTTTTAAAATGTTTATTACGTACTTGGTTGCTGTACTCCTTACTGCCCTTACTATTGTAAATTTTGTAAATGCGTCCACGATGACCAATATATGTTCGTTTTGCTTAGAACTTTTAGGAAACGGCCCTAAGTGATCCATATGCACAGTATGGAATGGGATCGGGGTTATGTTGTTAAAATGGTACTCTCCTTCGCGTTTTCCGCCAACGTGTTTGTTGTATGCACACTCGATACATGACTTAATATACGACTTAACAAAGTTTCGCATTCGAGGAAACCAGAAGTGTTGAGTTAGCCCTTGTATCGTTTTTTCAAGTCCTAAATGACCAGCATTATCATGTTGTTCTTGAACTACCTTCCAGCGTATTGCTTTAGGAACTACCCACAAAAGTTTATTGTTTATTTTCCGGAACAATCTTCCATTTTCAATGATATATTCGCTGCATAACGTTTTTTCTTTGGCGATAACTCCGTCGACTATTTTCCTTATTTTCTCGTCCTGAAGTTGCATTGAGAATAACCAATCTTCTTCACTTACGGTGGTTTTTGATATACGCATCGATGCTGTTTCGGTTTCATTCGGTTTCTCATATGGTGCTCGGCTTAGAGCGTCAACGTGTTCCATTTTTGATGATGCTCGGTGTTCTATTTTGACGTCAAAGTCCTGTATACGTAGCCACCATCTCGCAATTCGGGGTATTAATTCCTTTTTCTGCATGGTCGTTTTTAATGCACTACAATCAGTAATTACCGTTATTTCTTTGCCGTATATATAATATTTAAACCGTTCCAACGTTTCGACAACTGCCAATGTTTCAAGTTCGTAACTATGATAGTTTTTCTCCTCATCGGTCGTTGATCTGCTGTAAAAAGCTACAGGTTTCCACACATCGGTTTCCTTCTGCATCAATATTCCGGCAATACCTATGGAGCTTGCGTCCGTATGAATCTGGTGTTCACTATTCATGTTGTACGCTACCAAAATCGGGTTGGATGTCAAATACGTTTTTAATTCGTGGAATGCCGCTTCCTGCTTCTCACCCCAATAAAACGAACAATCCTTCCTCAATAATACACGTAGAGGTTCTGAGATGACTGCGTATGCGGGAACGAATTTACGAAAATAACTGGTCAATCCAAGAAATTGTCGTACGGCTGTTATATTTGTGGGGGTTGGAAATTCAAGAATTGCTGCCGTTTTCGCCTTCCCTGGGCTTAGACCGTCGGAGTGTAGTTTATGACCAAGAAATTCTATAGATTCGTTTAGGAATGTGCATTTTTGGAAATTCAGCGTTAAATTTAGTTCTCGTAAGACTGAAAATACTCTCCGCAATTTGTCCAACATTTCGCCAATACTATTACTTCCCACAACGATATCGTCCATATAGTGGAATACATCTCCGTCGCGAGCTCTCTCGCGGATTAGTGCCATTAAACGCTGAAACACTGCCGGCGCGTTCTTAAGTCCAAAAGGCATTCGTTTAAATTCGTACAACCCATCTGGTGTCACAAATGCAGTATACATTTTACTATTATCGTCCATCGGAACCTGGTAATATCCGCTGTTCAGATCCAGGACCGTGTAGTATTTGAATTGGTTTATCTCTTGCAGTCGTTCTTCGATATTTGGAGTTGGAAATATCTCCTTTACTACGTGCTGGTTTAATTTTCGATAATCGACGCATAATCTATCCTGACCGTTTTTCTTTTTTACAAGTACAATTGGGCTGGCATACGTGGACGTAGATTTTGTTATAATATCGTTCGCTAAAAGTTCATTTATCATCGTTTTTACTATTTCCTTTTTCGGTTCGGGTATTCGGTATGGCCTGGATACAATAGGTTCCTTTGTCGTCAATTCTATTTTCATTTTTAATTCGTTCGTTAATCCGATTTCGCTGATGTCTCTTCCCATAACATTTCTATACTCGTTTATCAGTTCACACAACATAATCCGGATATCTTCGTCGTTTACTCCACAATTGATTTCAGATAAGGCAATCGGTTTTCGTTCCGTTTTCCGTGTCGTGAATACTTTGGCGTTTTCTAATCGTTGCTCCTTATCATTTACTATCAGCTGTATTTCATTGTTCGTAAAAATGTCTTTTCCAAGAATTAAGTCCGGGGTAAAAATATGATCATCCGCAACGTAAAGTTCTGCCGTAATTTCAATATCATCAATCGTAAGTTTTGTTGTCAAGACTTCTTCGATTACACACGTTCCACCACAAACTCCACTGATACGTAACTTGCATTTTCTAATGTCGACTCCTAGCTTATACGCGACCGTTTTATGGATCATGCTGCATTCACTACCGGTATCAATCAAGGCATCGTATGTAAAACCATTTATGGTGACAGGTTTATGGTTGAGTACTTTACGTACGCTACAAGTTTTTGTTTCTGTACGTCCACAATGTGTCGGTGAATTTTTAGGATGAACTTTGTGACAATCTCGGCATCGTTCTCTTCGCGGTGGTTTTGGGCATTGACTGGAAATATGTCCTGGTTCGGAACAATTGTAGCACATTACCTTTGGGTCCGCTTTCTTACGCTTATCGACATCCTCCTTGGTGTACGGATCGCGTTTCCCTGTTGAAGACATTAGATTTGACCTGTTGCTACAATTAGCGATGCTCGCAAAATATTGTCCTGTTGCTTCACGTAACCCTCGCATTGTTCGAAACCGTATTGGTGCAATTGCTTGCTGTAGCTCACGATGCTTCAATCCGTCACGAGTATATTTCACTGCCGCTGTTTCACTGATACCATACCGTCTTCCCAGTGCGCTCATTCGAAAACAGTATTCGCTGATGGATTCGTCTTGCCGTCGTACGGATGATGTCATTTTAAAATGAATATCTGCTTCATCCGCGTTTGTGCTGAATTCCTCCATTAAGGCGTTTGCTAACTCATTCCACGTTCCGAAAAATTCTGGAGTCGAATCAAGCCATAACTTTGCTGGGCCTTTTAACTTTCTATACACGGCGAGTAGCAAAAGAGTTTCTTCACACTCGTAGGCTTGTGCTGCTTTCTCTACTCTATCGATGAATTGTTCTACGCCGAATGTTGAATCCTTTGTTGGATCGTACTCCGGTAAGATTTCCGCCATTTCTTGTACACTGTACGTTCTCTGGATGGGCTCGTAACTCGGTTTCTGGGTAAGAGCTGATTCATTCACCTTGGACTCGTTGCTTTCGTTTGCTGGTAAATCGACGATGGGTGTTGTTACTTGACGTTGTTGTTGTATGATTGACATCACATTTTCCATCATATCTTTTAAAGTATTAATTTGGGATTGTATTGACACTTCCTCCTCTACGCCATCAATATCTTCACACTCGACCTCATCGCTACCTAAAGCTCTAGATAACCGTTCGACCAGTTCACTTTTCTTTCCCATCGTGTCTAATTTTCTTTCGCGAAGTAACCGTTTTAATGTATCAACTTTTAATGATGTTATTTTCGGCATGTTGTTTCGTTTTGATCTCTTTTTAATTGTCCCTCCGTTTACTAATCGTTTAGCCTTTTTCGTTTTCCGTCCGTTTTTATTAGTTGTTTATGTTCGATAATTATCGTTTTTTTTTTTTTTATTTCGTTTCGTTCCTATTTATTTTCCATTTGAGTCGTTTTGCTTTCGTTTCCAGTTACGTTTGAGTTGTTGCACTTCATATCACATTTTCTGTTGTTCGTTATTTCTTTGTTGGTACGTTATCCTCTCTTTCCTTTTATATTCTTCCAAATCGTTATACCGTTACTTTGCATTCCTCACGTAGGCGATCGATCACATTATGAAGTTCTTAAACGTATATATGTTCGTGTATGTCCACAACAAAATTTTATACATATGTACGTATATGATTTTTTTATGCAACAATGCGTTTTCCGTTTATAGTTTTTTTTTTTAGAACTTCTTTTTTTTGGAATACGACACAATTACGTTTTTTTTTTATTATTATTTCCGATAGCCGTAAGCGCGTTTAATATATGTGGATATTAAGATCCCACTTCTGAACTAAAAGATTAAGAGAATAACACTTGTGCGTTTGTCAGGATTTACTTTAATGGTACATAAAACGTTTATTGATTTAATTCATATTACGAAAACATAAAATAACAAAGGAATTGTTCGATGTGAAAACATAAAATAATTTTAAAAAACTAAACGAAATGGAATGCGCGTATGCGCTACGACGTCTATGCAACAACTGCTCGCCAATCCGGGCTGCTGCTACGTCTTCCTCTTCTCTTCGTTAAAAATTAATTCGATTTTGCATAGTTGCAAATTATCGTACTCTTACACTATTAAGAAATTCAAATACGAAAATTCAAACAATTTCGGTGAATATTGTACCTAAAATCGTCAAAATACCGAATATAGGGAGGTACTGATACATGGGGCCTGTACGAAGACATCGATCTGCATAGACAATTTTTCGTCATAGGCTGTTGAATAACATTACGAATTCTAATTACTTTCCGGTCAAAAATGTCGATAAAATCATCAAAATACTGAATATCAGGAGATACCGTTATATGGGGGACATACGTTATCGTGGACCTATATAGAACATTATCTTCCAGGGGACAAAGTACTTACAAAGAACACCCTGTGTAGAATTTCAGACAATCCGATTATCAGCTTTTTACATTATCATGAAAATACCGAATACCGAGGTACTGTTACTTGGAGGCTATGTGACATCGTGGACCTATATAAACATGTCGCTTCCAGGGTGTAAAGTACTCAGAAGAAACTCCCTGTTTGGATTTTCAGACATTCCGATTGAAACATGTGGCTACAATCATCAAAATACCGAATATCGGGAGATACCGTTATATGGGGAATATACGTTATCGTGGACCGATATAGCTCATCTTCGAACTTGACCTGCCTGCGCAATTTTTTAGCTTCCTATCTTTATTCGTTTGGACTCTAGCGTGATTACAACAGACAGGCCTAAATCGTCCTAGAATTTCACACTGATCAAGAATATACAGTGTGAGATAAAAAAAACTGCAACAAAGTCAAAAGACATTTTTTTGACACATTTTTTTCAATTTTTGTTGAATGAAAGCAAAAGATGTCGGAAATAGCATCAAATTTTAGAATAAGTTTAGATTTGTTCGAATTGGTCACCCGAATGTTGCTCTGCAGTATTTCGGCCCATTCCCGGCGAAGCGCTTGCTTGAGATGATCGACACTTTGGTATTTTTTAGTGCCAACCTTGCCTTCCAAAATACTCCAGACACAATAGTCCAATAGATTGGTATCCGGAGATTTTGGTGGTCATTGTGCGCTGGAAAATGAAGCAAGGAACCTAATTTTGTAACCATTCTTGGTTGGCGCGTGCTGAGTTCGTTTGCGTGCCCATGGCATTAATACACCCTTTGGCAAGTTAAATTTTAACACCTGTCGGAGGAGTGGCTTAGAAATGACAGCAGTCTGAAGTTGGTTGCAGTTTTTTCATCTCACCCTGTGTACACTTTGTTATGTCTAAAATTATTATTTCGATGAGTTACAAACGGACTGACGAACTTAGTATACCCTTCATAGTATGTATAGTTGAGGGTATAAAAATGGAAGGTGATTGATTTTCTAGAGACGACAGAAGACCCCAATCTTCTATGAATAAGAGAGAGGCTAGCGTTATCCTGGATGCTCGTCCCTTAACCTAATATAATCTTTATATCTGTATCTCCATTCCATAACCTTACTTACTAGATCTGATTGTATTTCGAAACAATAATGTAAGTTCATAATAACTAATACCTAGACCTTGACTTTTGCATATTTTGACGATTTTCATTTTCCAAATGTTATTTCGAATATTTAGAAATGCACACAAGGAGCACTTTCATTTTTAAATATAGAGAATATTTAAGCTTCAATAAAAATATGCAAAATCCAAGGTTTACAAGATAAGTTGTAATACAAAACTAGATTTTGACTTAATAATTTAATAATACTGTCGGATTTTTCAACCTAATTTTTTCATACGTACATATATATCGTTTTATATATTTTTTAATATAATTTAGAAATATATTTACGAGTTCGTATTTTGTTTTCTTTTCCTATTTTCAATCTCTAAGTTCTAATATTGAAATCTAAATGTTTCGTTTTTATAGCATGCCATTATCGACCATATCGATAAGGATTTCCGACATTTTCTGACGGCACAAATCGTTGGGTGGAAAATTCAATTCTGGTGCCCCATACTGGCAGCCATCCATGCCATCGCTGTTGGAACGATTTATATACATATCGGGAGCATCCTCAGAGGAACATGTGCTTATTGGTATTATGTCCAGCGACAAGCCCAAAGCAAAACGGCCATAAGTTTTTAATTCAGAACGGAATCTAAAGGGAAATTTGTGGTTATAAAATTCTTAAGTATTCAAAATTTCGAATACTTACATCTCACTAAGTTTCTCCAAGCTATTACAGAATTCTGGTATCTTTACGCACAACAACTGCAGCCATTTAAACAATTCTCGGGTATACAAATTAAGGAACTCTTCCAAGTGGGCATCTCTCATGGATTTGTTGGTACAACAAAATATTAGATTGGCCACATCCAGGGCTATGGAGCTGTAACGTATCAACTGGAAATCCACCAAGCAGACCTGCAACAACATATTTTTATTTTAATTTTTCCATTATTAAATACAAATTGTTAATCATTTTAGATCTCACCTCCACAACCTTTTTCTCGCCACTTGGCTGGACATCATAACGATACAAAAAATTGTTGGCCCAACAATCGCCATGGCAAAATGCCGACAATGCGGACTCTTCACTAACCATGCTGACCATGCGTTGGAAAAATGTCGTTGTCTCGGCAAACTCTTTGAATGCCTGTAAATATTTGGAGTTTTCCGGCAGGACATCGGAGACCTGAAATGAAAGCAAACCTACAATAAATGAACCAGAAAAATGTTAAGCTCTCCCTACTCACCATTTTAAGGGCATTTTTGGTTAAGGTCTCATAGTACTTCCGGTACCAACTGACATTGTCATTGGAGAACAACCCCTCCTCCGTTAGCTTGCGTAGATTCTCAAATTGTTTGGGATTTTCAAATTTGTAGGCCAAACTAAGGGCATGCAGCTGGGCAACTTGTTTCAACACCATTTGGGTTTCGTCTATGGTTAGACCCTGTTTTCGATCGGGCATTTGGAAACCACGTGTCCGCAGGTCCTCTAAAATTTGGAAAATGGAAATGAATTCGAAATTTGAATAAAATATGAAGAGTTTCTTACCCATTATAAGCAGATCCGACCGGGCATAATAACATTTCGGCATGGCCCGGAATAGTTCCGAAGTTTTGGTACTTTGAAACTTCAAAAGTTCCGGCATTATGGAGGTGTAGAATTCAATTTCATTCCTAGGGGTAAGAAAATTGAAAGTCAAATAGGCGCTCAGTGGAAATTATTTTTAATTTCAAGATCTAGATATAATGGAAGGCCTTAGGATATTCTACAGACAAAGGAAGGTCCAAGGGTCTTCTATAGGCAATAAAAGAAGAGAGTGTATTTTGTGGAGAATGGATGATTCAAGGGGGGGCCCAGGACCTCATATAGACAAATGCCCAGGACCTCATATAGACAAATTGAGGTCCAATAACCTTCCATAGGCAATTTCCAGGTTCTTCTTTGGAGAAAAGAAGGTTCCGATAGCGGTCCCCAGGACCTCATACAGAAAATTTGAGGTCCAATAACCTTCTATAGGCAATATAAGGTCGCATGTTCTACTTTGGAGAATAGAAAGTTCCACGAAAAATAGGCCACAGGGTCTGCTGAGTTCCAAGTCGTTCTTTGGAGAAAAGAAGGTTCCAATAGGGGTCCCCAGGACCTCATAAAGACAATTTGAGGTCCAATAACCTTCTATAGGCAATATAAGGTTCCAAGTCCTTTTTTGGAGAAAAGAAGGTTCCAATAAGGTTCATAGGACCTCACATAGACAATATGAGGTCCAAGAACCTTCCATAGGTAATATAAGGTCGGAAGTCCTTCGTTGGAGAATGGAGGGTTCTATGAAAAATAGAAGGCCACAGGGTCTGCTACGTTCCAAGTCCTTCTTTGGAGAAAAGAAGGTTCCATTAGGTCCCAGGACCTTATACAGACAATTTGAGATCCAATAACCTTCTATAGGCAATATAAGGTCCCAAGTCTCTATAGGCAATATAAGGCCCCAAGTCCTTCTTTGGAGAAAAGGAGGTTCCAATAGGGGTCCCCAGAACTTCATACAGACAATTTGAGGTCCAATAACCTTATATAGGTAAAATAAGTTCCCAAGTTCTTCTTTAGAGAATAAAATATTCCATGAAAATGGAAGGTTCCATGAGAAATAGAAGGTCACAGGGTCTGCTGGGTTCCAAGTCCTTCTTTGAAGAAAATAAGGGGTACCCAGGACCTCATACAGACAATTTGAGGTCCAATTACTTTCCAAGGGCAAAAGTCTTCCATTGAGAATATAAGGACCCAGGGTCTTCCAAGGCTCTGAGGTAGTATTTTCAAACACGATTAAATATTACAGACAGGGCCTCAGAACCCAAGGATCTTCCATATATGACATGAATTCTGTAGTCTTTCCACGAACATTAAAAATTCTGCTTCCGAATTCCTTCTCGTTCTCGGCCGCCTCCTCATTTAAATACACCTACCTAAACAACTTATCACTCTTGTAAGCCTCCCGCAGTTTTGGATTCTCCGGCAAACGTTTGCAGATGACATTGTGTTCCCATTTTTGTTTTTTGCCATCGTCCGGACATTTGCGATGGCCCGCCAGGTGGATGCGATAAAGGGTGGCTGTGTAATTGTCACCGCGGCCGGATCCTTGCTCTTCCTGGCAATTTTAAAAGAAAAAAAATTGACATCATCTTCAGGATGTAATAATGTATGCATGTATGTGTGTGTTTCCAATACTCACCTCAAATGTATCGATTTGTACTTCCGGTTCGATGCATCGGAAAATATCGGCAAATAGATCCAGGGTTAATTTTGAACCATTTGTGACCAGGGCATCATCCGTTGCAGCCATTTGTGAGATTTCATTAATGCCCATAATTAAATTTGTAAAATCCGCGAACAGTCAGCAAAGGAAGATGACTTAATAGGTGGAAGTTGATGTGCCAAGAAAAAGGATACTCTATGCAGGAACACACATGCAAACACACACCTACACACAACTATTATGTATTCAATTGCTATTTCATAAAATTATCAAATTTGATCGATTTAGTTGTATTTAAATTCTTTCACTTTTTTATTTTCTGGTTTTGCTTTAACAAATTTTCTTTCAACAATTTATAGTTTTTTCTTTAAAAAAAATCTTCCTTTCTTTAACTTTTCCTATCGAACGTATCAAAGCAAGTGTATTTCTTGTGTGCTCTTGAGATTTTGTCATCCCCCTCTTCAGTGATTTAATTCCTGATTTTTGAGATGCTGTCATCTGTCACTTAACTCATACAGATGGTCCTTTTTGAATTTGTTTTGAATCTGGTTTTCTGTCATCTGGCAGTTGAGAGAAATTTCCGGCTGTCAAAGTTTTGTTTTAATGATGTTTATTGTTCTGAATGTCCTGGTAGCCGGCTTTTTGTTTAACACAAGAAGGGGTTGTTACCGTAATAGTTAATTTCTCTTTCTCTCTTTCTCTCTCTCTCTCTCTCTTGATGTTTTCTCGGAGAACATTTACGTTTGAATGGTACGCATTGCCAACTTATCTCAATTGTTTTGTAGTGTAGAGTTGGCAACGAAATTTACAGTAACGGCAATTCGAAAATGTCTTCTATAAAAAATCATTGATAAAACCAAGACAAAGCCGGAGAACTCTTCAGAAAATATGAATAAATTACGAGGAAGGTCATGAAAAAATGTATTTAGAAAATATTCTAATTAAAGAAAAGAAAGCCTTAAAAAAACTCTTGAAAAACCCCATGTTTACAGGCAATGGAGGATTTGAAAATTGTTTTCTTTGAATATCCATCTCTACGCAAAGGAAGAGCTTAACAAATGCTCTTTAAAAAATCCAGCGAAGGACTTGAGAAAAAATATACTTCAAAAATTCCTGATTAAATCTTTGCAAATTCTTGGAAAAGTAATCTTTAAAATCCACTATCAAAGCTTTAAGGGATCCAGGCTTATTGCTCGGATTGCCCGTTAAAAAAAGTAAAAATTAAAAAAAATTCAAGACTAATTAGAAATATATCCATTGCTATCCATACAGGGTGAAATAAAAAAAAACTGCAACAAAGTCGAATGCCAAAATTTTAATTTTTTTTAGCAAATGAAAGCAAAAAAATTCGGAAATAGCATCAAATTTTAGAATAAGTTTAGATTTGTTTGAATTGGTCACCTATGGCACGAATTATGGCCTTCAAACGGCCAATGAAACCGTTACACGCTGTCCGAATGTTGCTCTACGGTATTTTGGACCATTCTTGGCGAAGCGCTTGCTAAAGGTGATCGACACTTTGGTATTTTTTAGTGGCAACCTTGCTTTCCAAAATACTCCAGACACAATAGTCCAACGGATTGGTATCCGGAGATTTTGGTGGCCATTGTGCGCTGGAAATGAAGCAAGGAACCTCATTTTGCGATGGTGCTGAGTCCTGTTGGAATGTCCATGGTCTGCGGCCAAAATGTTTGTGTGCCCAAGGCTTTAATACGCACTCCAGAATATTTTCGCGATAATATTTGGCCTTTATTCTGATGCCACGGGCGGAGAGCGACCATCGACTGTTATGGCGGCCCACGCCATCACCATGGCCAGCGCTTGAGTTCTGGTGGCTTACCGAAGGTACACATTTTCATCTGACCTCTTTGGCATGTAAACACGATCATTTTCTTTCTTTACAAACTGCTGGACAACGAATGTTTTCTCATCGGAGAAATTTAAATTCGGCAGTTCACCACTTTCGGGCAAGCGAAGCAACTCTTTAGCTCTCTCTCTCTTTTGAATCTATTTTCTTTCTGTTGCGGTGTAAGTTTGTTGCACTTTTTGGAATTTCAATGGCTTCGCCTCGAGCTCATTTTTCAATATTTGCCGAATGGAATATTGCGATATGTTCAATGGCTCACGAGCCATTTTTCAGTCACTGCAACGCGGGTTAGCGATCAAGTCGCTTCTTTACTTTTCGAACCATTTCTGCAGATGTTGCTATTTTCTTCCGTCCATTTCAGGCTACGCTACCAGTATCACACAGTAACGAGCGATGGTACGAGACACAAACGATTTATTCACATTTAAATGCTTGAGTGCTCTAACGATAGCCACTTGTGGTTTTCCAGCCAAATATAAGGAGATCACGCTATCACGCTTGAATTCCATCACGAATCACTTTTTTTCTGAAACATTTTCACCAAAATGCTTTTGTACGCCTGTAAACAATATAATTAGCCTGTCACTGGTATAATTTTAACAGCTGTCGGACGAGTGGCTTAGAAATTACGGCAGTCTGAAGTTGGTTGCAGTTTTTTTTCATTTCACCCTGTACTAGGCTTTAAGACCCTAGGCTCTTCCATGGACTTTCTAAAGATGACAGAAGACCCACAGATATTAAAAATCCTGCTGGCCCCCATTTGGGCCTCTCCCCATCTGATGCTTAGTTGGTCCTTGGACAAAATTCTTTAAAAATCATCGTTTATTGGTCAGTTGAACCTTGAAAAACTTGCTTAAGACAGTTGATCCTTGGGAACAAATTCTGTTAAAAATCAAGTTTATTGTTGGTCCTTGAAAAAAATCTTTAAAAAATCTACGTTCCGTTGGTCCTTAACAGAAATTCTTAAAAAAAATCTCTTATTTTTGGTCATTTGGTCCTTGAAAAATATTATTTTATTAGAAGTACTCACCTCGATCCTCCTCAAAATAATTTATAAAACTAATTGATTTATTTTAATTTTAATATATTTTATGATATTTATTTGATTTCGCTTTATGTTTTTTTGTTTTATTTTATTAATGTTTCTGAAAACGACAAAAACAATGTTCTTTCAATGTTAACTTTCGAATATGTAGAGAGTGTGAAGAAACCCGCCCAACAAAAAAGGACAATCGACAACTATTTAACATTTAAAATGTTTAGTTTAGTAGGTTTTGTGTTTTGTATGTTTGGACTATGTTTGTATGTTTGTATGTACAGTTTGTCGGGGAATGGGTTCTGAGAGTTTGTTTTGGAACTCATTTTGGACAAAAACATTAAATACTTTCTAAGTGGAGCTACCCACATTCAAATCGGGAGCTTCGGAACCGATACATATTTTTTTTTGTTCTCAGTAACGAATTCGAGTTGGGGAACTGTATCGATAAGCGGAATCGGCACTTACTGTTTGCTAAAAATGTCTTAACACCATATCAACTTTCCAAATCTGGTTTTAAACACGGACTCTGATCTCGACTCCGATGACTTAATTTAACAGAGTTTTTGTTTTGTTGTAATTGAAGATGCAATAGTTGATTACTTAAGTCTGGAGTGTCTCCCCTCTGGTTTTAAACACGGACTCTGATCACGACTTCGAAGCCTTAATTTAACAGAGCTTTTGTTTTGTTATAATTTGAGATGCAATCAATTTATTAGTTAAGTCTGGAGTGTTCCCCCTTTGGCTTGACTTCATATTACTCTCTCTCACTCTCTCTCTCTGTAACAGAGAGTAATGTTTTTTTCATATTACAGAGAGCAATGTTTTTCAAACCTGGAGTGTTCCCCTTTTGATTTTACTTCATATTACTCTCTCTCTCTCTCTGTTACAGAGAGTAATTTTTTTTTCATATAACAGAGAGCAACCAAAACTGACAGCATTGCAATATTTGCTGATTGCAACAAAATCGTGATTTTATGCCGGCGAAGGGATTGCAACATCTTGTTATGATGCTTTTTTGGGATAGGCAAGATGTGATTTTAATTCTCATTCATTTTTGAAGGCTCTACACCTATAGAGCTCATATCAAAAAGAAACTGAAAAAGCTAAATGATCATTCCCTTCGTTGGGATGAAATCATGATATTGGTAGCGACCAGCAAATATTGAATAGCTACAGGGTGGGATGAAGAAACTGCAAACAACTTCAGACTGCTGTCATTTCTTAGCCCATTTTTCAAGGATCAACTGACCAATAAACGATGATTTTTAAAGAATTTTGTCCAAGGACCAACTGAACATTAGATGGGGAGATACCCAAATGGGGGCCAGTAGGATTTTTAATGTCTGTGGGTCTTCTGTCGTCTTTAGAACGTCTATAGAAGAACCTAGGGCCTTAAAGTCTAGTACAGGGTGAGATGAAAATACTGCAACCAACTTCAGACTGCTGTCATTTCTAAAAATTACACCACAACAGAAAGAAAATAGACTCAAAAGAGCTAAGGAGTTGCTTCGCTTGGCCAAAAGTGGTGAACTGTCGAATTTGATTTTCTCTGTTGAGAAAACATTCAAACAATCGTTGTCCAGCAGTTTGTAAACAAACAAAATGATCCTGTTTACTTGTCAAAGAGGTCAGCTGAAAATGTGAACCTTCGGTTGGCCACCAGAACTCAAGCGTCGGCCATGGTGTGGGCCGGGCCGCCATAATAGCCGACGGTCGCTCTCCGATCCGTATTAAACGACCGTGGCATCAGAAATGACGAATATTATCGCGAAAATATTCTAGAGGGTGTATTAAAGCCTTGGGCACGCAACCATTTTGGCCGCAGACCTTGGACATTCCAACAGGACTCAGCACCATCGTACTCAGCACTCACCACCCAAGAATGATAACAAAATGACGATCCTCGCTTCATTTCCAACACACAATGGCAACCAAAATCTCCGGATACCAAACCGTTGGACTATTGTGTCTGGAGTATTTTGGAAAGCAAGGTTGGCACCAAAAAAATACCAAAGTGTCGATCACCTCAAGCAAGCGCTTCACCGGGAATGGGCAAAAATACCGCAGAGCAACAATCGCGCAGCATGTGACGGTTTCATTGGCAGTTTGAAGGTCATAATTCGTGTCAAAGGTGACCTATTCGAAGAAATCTAAACTTTTTTTAAAATTTGATGCTATTTCCGACATTTTTTGCTTTCATTCAATAGAATTATAAAAAACACGTAAAAAAGCTGTAAGTTCGACCGGTCGGATCTTTGAATACCCTCCACCATTTGGAATGATTTTGGCAATTTTCAGAAAAATGAAGTCCGTTCAAAATTCTGTTAAAATCTTAAAAATACCGAATATAGCCGTTATATTAGGGTCTATATGACGACGTGGGTCTGCATAGGCAACTTTTGTCATAAACCATTACAATATTTAAATGCGAAACTTGAATAAAAAAATTCGGTGAATAATGTAGCTAAAATCATCAAAAATCCGAATATAGGGAGGCACCTTTATATAGGGGGATATACGAAGACGTGGATCTGCACAGACAATTTTCTGTCTTAGGCTGTAGTATCTATTACGAACTTCAAGTACCAAATTTGAAACAATTCCGGTTAATAATGTCGCTAAAATCATCAAAATACCGAATATCGGGGAATATCGTTGTATGGGGGCTATACGAAGACGTGGACCTGCACACACAATTTTCTGTCTTAGGCTGTAGAATCCATTACGAACTTCAAGTACCAAATTTGAAACATCTCCGGTAAATAATTTCGCTTAAATCATCAAAATTCCGAATATCGGGGGGTACCGTTGTATGGGGGCTATACGAAGACGTGGAGCTGCACAAACAATTTTCTGTCATAGGCTGTAGTACCCATTATGGACTTCAAATACCAAATTTGAAACATTTCCGGTAAATAATGTCGCTTAAATCACCAAAATATCGAAAAAATGCAGGTACCATTATATGGGGGCTATACCAAAACGTGGACCTACATGACCCATTTTCAATACCAAACGTCATGCAGACATAATACACTTGTGAGTAAAATTTTATCAACCTACTTCATTTCGTTCGGAAGCAAGAGCGATTTCCACAGGAGGACAGACGGACGGGCATAGCTAAATCGACATAGAATTTTATGCTGATCATTTGTGAGGTCAAAAATTTATATTTCGAGGTGTTACAAACGGAATGACAAACTTTATATACCCCTATGGTGGAGGTTATAAAAATGTAAAAATTATGGGGTTTGACTTTGTTGCAGTTACTTTTTTATCTCATCTTGTATTCTCTGTAATAGAGGGTGATAGGAAGTCAAGCCAAAAGGGGGAATACTTTAGACTTCAGACTTTAGTTTTTGTTTTTTTTTGTTGTAAAATCCTTTTACGACAAACTGTACATGTTTTCCGAATTAAGTGTTATGTAAAGTTAAACAATTGAATTTCATACGAGAAGCTTTTAAAGCTCTTTGATTAGATTATTTTTGGGGTAGACGACTAAAACTAAAGACTTAAACTAGAATAAAATTGAAATCGTATTTGAAAACAATTTTGAGCTCAATATCTAATTGTTTGCCAGCTGGAGAGGGAATCGGTTGACAATTATATTGCTATTTAAAAAAAGGATTCTTAAGGAAATCCTTGCGACACATTTTCAAAATCTCTCCAACATAACAAGTTCTTAGAATAATCAGGTATGTGATGGAGAGCAAAGCAAAGTAGAGAAGGTTTCGAGAAGTAGCCGACCCAAGGCCGGAAGACTACTTTTGACAATAATTCAACAGTAAATCAAGGCCTATATGAGGTCGTCCAAAAGGGAATACCTTAGGCAACAATCTTAACAATAAATTTATGTATTCTTTGGAACGGTATGAAAAAGTAGCCGACCCAAAGCCGGAAGACTATTTTTGACAATAATTCAACAATAAATCAAGCCCTATATGGGGTCGGCCAAGAGAACTACTTTTGGCAACAATTTTGACAATAAACTTAGTATTCTTTGCCCTATTGTGATTTGACTCTCTTCCAGTTTCAAATCAAGGTCTATATCATGGCCATGGCCTACATGTATGTAGGTCTTGATCATGGCCTATATGAGGCCGGCCCGTAAGCCCATCTGACAACCAAGTCTGCCGCCATAAGACAAATTGTGATTTGAAATTCGAAGGGAGTCAAATCACAATAGTGCAAGATCTACTAAGTTTTTTTTTGCCAAATTGTTGTCAAAAGTAGTCTTCTTGGCCTTGGCCTATATCAGGTCAGCCAGGAAGACTACTTTTGACAATAATTTGCTAATAAACATAGTAGATTTGGAGAATTTTCAATTGATCCTCTTTGAATTTTAAATCACAATATGTCTTGGGACAAAAAAACTTAGTTGTCAGATGGGCTCAGCGGCCGACCTTATATAGGCCATGGGTCAAATATTGATTTTATTACAGATTTTTTTTTTTTAAAAACCTCAATTTTAATTTTAAGCAACCTTCTCAATTTGCTCTCCACCTCATCCCTGAATTTTAACAATTTAATTTTGTTTTCTTTTTTTGAGTTTTCTTTCATTTGTTTTTTGGTTTCTTTAGAAAAATACAATTCATTCTTTGTTGTTGTGCCACTGGAAACATGTGTGCAGATTATCCAGGTAAATGATGCTTGTGGTTTTTGTTGTTGTTGTTATATAATGTTAACATTTTCGACTTCTTCGGAAGACATCCTATGACGGAAAATAATATCGTTGAGATTGAAGCCAGCTGTTGCCTCCCTTTAATTTGGCATATGGGGATGATGATGACTAAGCGTTTGGGCCTGCAACTGTTGATGGTGTTGCTGCTGCTGCGACTGCGCTCCAGCGCTGAGATGTGGTTCATCACTAATCAAATGTAAATCATGCAAAGCTTGAGCAATGGGCAGCGGACGTTGAGGCCAGTGATTTGGTTGGAGTAGCAGTTGGGCATTGGCCAAATGGCGCTGCAGCGATCCAATTGTGGGATAAATGGTCTGTTCAATGAACTCGGCAATGGTGTACTGGAAAAATAATGAGAAGAAGAAGGAATTAGAAAATAGTTTGAAATTTGATTAATTTTTGAAAATATAATTCCGATAAATGAACTTGGATTTTTAATGACCAACAAAAAAAGGTTTTTTTTAAGGAATTTTTTCCAAGGACCAAATGGCCAATAAACTTGATTTTTTAAAGAATTCTTTCCAAGGACCAATAGACCAATAAATGGGGATTTTTTGTAAAAAAATTTTTCAAAGGGCCAACCGACTTATAAATGTTTTTTTTTTTTAAATATTTTATTTCAAGGACTTTACAGGATTTTCTAAAAAAATTATTTCATGGACCAACCGACCAATAAATGTGGATTTTTTAAGGAATATTTTCAAGGACTTCCTTGCCAATAAATGTGGATTTTTTAAACAAAAATTTTCCAAGGACCCTCAGAACAATAAACGTGAATTTTTAAAAGAATTTTTTCCAAGGACCAACCGACCGATAAACGTGGATTTTTTAAAGATTTTATTTGAAGGACCCTCTGAACAATAAACGTGGATTTTTTAAAGATTTTATTTGAAGGACCCTCTGAACAATAAACGTGGATTTTTTAAAGATTTTGTTTCAAGGACCGGCCGATTAATGAAGAATATTATCCAAGGACTTCCCAAGCTATAAACGTGGATTTCTTAATGAGTTTTTTTCAAGGACCATCCAAAAAATAAACTTAGATTTTTTAAAAAAATTATTTCAAGGACCCACCGAACAATAAAAGTAGATTTTTTAAAGATTTTATTTCAAGGACCAACGACCGATAAACGTGGATTTTTTAAAGAATATTTTTCAAGGACTTCCCAGGCCATAAACGTGGTTTTTTTAAAGAATATTTTTCAAGGACTTCCCAGGCCATAAACGTGGATTTTTAAAAGAATATTTTTCAAGGACTTCCCAGGCCATAAACGTGGTTTTTTTAAAGAATATTTTTCAAGGACTTCCCAGGCCATAAACGTGGATTTTTTAAAGAATATTTTTCAAGGACTTCCCAGGCCATAAACGTGGATTTTTTAAAGAATATTTTTCAAGGACCAACCGACCGATAAACGTGGATTTTTTAAAGAATATTTTTCAAGGACCAACCGACCGATAAACGTGGATTTTTTAAAGAATATTTTTCAAGGACTTCCCAGGCCATAAACGTGGATTTTTTAAAGAATATTTTTCAAGGACTTCCCAGGCTATAAACGTGGATTTTTTAAAGAATATTTTTCAAGGACTTCCCAGGCCATAAACGTGGATTTTTTAAAGAATATTTTTCAAGGACTTCCCAGGCCATAAACGTGGATTTTTTAAAGAATATTTTTCAAGGACTTCCCAGGCCATAAACGTGGATTTTTTAAAGAATATTTTTCAAGGACTTCCCAGGCCATAAACGTGGATTTTTTAAAGAATATTTTTCAAGGACTTCCCAGGCCATAAACGTGGATTTTTTAAAGAATATTTTTCAAGGACTTCCCAGGCCATAAACGTGGATTTTTTAAAGAATATTTTTCAAGGACTTCCCAGGCCATAAACGTGGATTTTTTAAAGAATATTTTTCAAGGACTTCCCAGGCCATAAACGTGGATTTTTTAAAGAATATTTTTCAAGGACTTCCCAGGCCATAAACGTGGATTTTTTAAAGAATATTTTTCAAGGACTTCCCAGGCCATAAACGTGGATTTTTTAAAGAATATTTTTCAAGGACTTCCCAGGCCATAAACGTGGATTTTTTAAAGAATATTTTTCAAGGACTTCCCAGGCCATAAACGTGGATTTTTTAAAGAATATTTTTCAAGGACTTCCCAGGCCATAAACGTGGATTTTTTAAAAAATATTTTCCAAGGACTTCCCAGGCCATAAACGTGGATTTTTTAAAAAATATTTTCCAAGGACTTCCCAGGCCATAAACGTGGATTTTTTAAAGAATATTTTTCAAGGAATTCCCAGGCCATAAACGTGGATTTTTTAAAGAATATTTTTCAAGGACTTCCCAGGCCATAAACGTGGATTTTTTAAAGAATATTTTTCAAGGACTTCCCAGGCCATAAACGTGGATTTTTTAAAGAATATTTTTCAAGGACTTCCCATGCCATAAACGTGGATTTTTTAAAGAATATTTTTCAAGGACTTCCCAGGCCATAAACGTGGATTTTTTAAAAAAATACTTTTCAAGGACTTCCCAGGCTTTAAACGTTGATTTTTTAAAGAATATTTTTCAAGGACTTCCCAGGCTTTAAACGTTGATTTTTTAAAGAATATTTTTCAAGGACTTCCCAGGCTATAAACGTGTTTAAAGAATATTTTTCAAGGACTTCCCAGGCTATAAACGTGGATTTTTTAAAAAATATTTTTCAAGGACCCTCCGAACAATAAACGTAGATTTTTTAAATAATTTATTTCAAGGACCAATCGACCGATAAACGTGGATTTTTTAAAGAATTTTTTCCAAGGACTTCCCAGGCTATAAACGTGGATTTTTTAAAGAATTTTTTCCAAGGACTTCCCAGGCTATAAACGTGGATTTTTTAAAGAACTTTTTTCAAGGACCATCAAGGCTTTAGGGGTGGATTTTTTAAAGAATTTTTTCCAATTACTTCCCAGGCTATAAACGTGGATTTTTTAAAGAATTTTTTTCAAGGACCATCAAGGCTTTAGGGGTGGATTTTTTAAAGAATTTTTTTCAAGGATCATCAAGGCTTTAGGGGTGGATTTTTTAAAGAAATTTTTCCAAGGACCATCGAGGCTTTAGGGGTGGATTTTTTAAAGAATTTTTTTCAAGGACCATCAAGGCTTTAGGGGTGGATTTTTTAAAGAAATTTTTCCAAGGACTTCCCAGGCTATAAACGTGGATTTTTTAAAGAATTTTTTTCAAGGACCATCAAGGCTTTAGGGGTGGATTTTTTAAAGAATTTTTTCCAAGGACTTCCCAGGCTATAAACGTGGATTTTTTAAAGAACTTTTTTCAAGGACCATCAAGGCTTTAGGGGTGGATTTTTTAAAGATTTTACTTCAAGGACCATCCAAACAATAAACGTGGATTTTTTAAAGAATTTTTTGAAGGATTTCCTCGAGTATAAACGTGGATTTTTAAAGAATTTTTTGAAGGATTTCCTCGGCTATAAACGTGGATTTTTTAAAGAATTTTTTGAAGGATTTCCTCGGCTATAAACGTGGATTTTTAAAAGAATTTTTTGAAGGATTTCCTCGGCCATAAACGTGGATTTTTTAAAGATTATATTTCAAGGACTTCCCAGGCTATAAACGTGGATTTGTTAAAGATTTTATTTCAAGGACTTCCCAGGCTATAAACGTGGATTTGTTAAAGAATATTTTTCAAGCACTTTCCAGACTATAAACGTGGATTTTTTAAAGACTATTTCCCTTGGATTTTTATGGAATATTTTCAAGGACTTCCCAGGCTATAAACGTGGATTTTTTAAAAAATATTTTTCAAGGACTTCCCTGGCTATAAACGTGGATTTTTTAAAGACTATTTCCCTTGGATTTTTATGGAATATTTTCAAGGACTTCCCAGGCTATAAACGTGGATTTTTTAAAAAATATTTTTCAAGGACTTCCCTGGCTATAAACGTGGATTTTTTAAAGACTATTTCCCTTGGATTTTTAAGTAATATTTTTCAAGGGCTTCCCAGGCTATAAACGTGGATTTTTTAAAGACTATTACCCTTGGATTTTAATGGAATATTTTTAAAGGACCTTCTAGGCCTTAATCGTGAATATTTCTGAAAATATTCTCTAAGGACTCACCTTATCAAACACCTCATACAACAACTCCTGGGCCTGTCGTGACATACCCTGCAACTCGCTGATATAGATCGGTGTCTTTTGCGTCAGCTCATGCACCCGAATGGGTGAACTGAAATTATGTCTCACATTATAATCTGACATCCAGGCACTGTGTTCCTGTACCTGATTCAAATACATTTGGATTTCGGCCAACAGCTCATAGAGTCTCAGCGAATATTTGTAGAATTGATGGCCCAAATAGACACAGGTCGAGAATAATTGATTATGATGTGAGTTCGGTTGTAAATCCAGCCACGGATGCCCGGAACGACGTTTATCCAGCTGATAGACACATTGAAGAACTTTGAGTAAATCATTCTCCTTGGGATTGGTTTCAAAGTATCCCTTGGATACGGTCGAAAGGGATACCATTAGACTGGGTATGCCGGTGGGCAGTAGTTCACAGAGCACTGCAAAATGGTCATAACGTTGCCATCCTGTCAAGGCGAGGCCTTGAAAGCCCTTGGAGAACCTCCCACCCTCTTTGGCAATGACAGCCAGCCAGCGTATGTTGTTCTCCAAATGATTTTGTATGGGTGGTATCATAAGACTCTCCCCAAATGCTCCCTTAAATGCTGAGGCTGCCCAGGCGGTGGGAAAGACTCGAGTGTAACGCTCCCACAACATGGGCGGTATAAAACGATAGATGTCATTGATGTAGACCCAGATCATGGGTTCTACATATTGACCAATCTGCGAGTGCTGCATTTCACTCAGGGTCATGCCACGCAACATATCATCCCAGATGACAACCTTCAAATGGCTCCATTTGTTCCGGACAAAATGGGCCACATTTATGACGTGGTTGAGAAATAGTTCCCCCTTGGTTTTCTGCCGACACTGGACACATTCACCCATGCGCGCCACCTCATCACAACCTATGTGGATGTGGGTCATTTTGAGGGTTTCCACTTGTAAATGAAACTCCACGACTTGGTTGAGCATGGCTTCGATAAAAAAGAGAGATGATTTCTGGCTGGGACATATGGATTGAGGGCTGTCGGGCAGCTCACGCATTGAGGCGAATTCTTGTAGTTTTAGGGCGTACTCCATGTGGCCGAAGGTCTGTACCAATGGCATTACGTTGAAGCCAAAGTGGGCACAGGTTTCCAAGAAGTCCTGAAAGGAAAGAGAGTAAGAAGAGGCTAAGCTATGTGTAGTGTAAGGTAGGTTATAAACTTACCCTTAGTTCCTCCCGATTGTAGGCATTTTTGGCCGACAGTGTTGATATATTGCCTTCAAAGGGAAACATGTCTTCATATTCGATAAGTAAGCCAGTGGCGCCCAACGTTTTCATTACCGGCAGTAGTTGTTTCAGAAAAGAGATCTGCAAAGGCAAAAGTGAGATTAGGAATAAAAATTGATGACTGGAGGATTTAAGCTTTTGTTGGAAGAAATAAAGGTGGCTTTGTAGAAAAGGAGGACCATAGTTTGGGTCTTAATATTTCCAAAATTCCAGATTCGATACCAAATATAACTCTCTATTCTTAACATATCGAGGATCTGGCTCATGGGAAAACAGGGGTGATATTTTAAGAACCAAATCGATGCCTTATCCTCCCTGTTCCGACTCTAAGGATCGTTTTGGCCTCCAAATATCCTGATTCTGATTCTCTTTTTCATCTTTTCTATGCCAACATACCTTTGGTGGTGCTCCCTTCAAATCCAAATGCACCAGCCGTTCATGCGGTGGCTTTGCCCCATCTGGCCCAATGCCGGCCACCACGGGTATACCCATCCTCTGCAGTTCATGTTCATACTGCGTTTGCCTTTCCGCAGAGGATAACATCTGAGCCTCATTTTCCATTTGATTTTGAATTTCATCCATGGCAGAGTTACGAACTCGCTGTTGATTTTCCAAAATTTTCAAACGTTCCTCTTCGAAGAGATAACTTTCGCCGACTATGGGTCCTTTTTTACGGCGTGCAACCAGCGACAGCGTTTGGGCAGAGGCCTCTTCGATGACGATGGATGTTGGATTTTTGGTGGGTTTCAAAAACCTACCCAAACCCGAATTGGCCAAACTATTGGGATGCGTCTGCGAGCGTAAATCCTTCTTCGATTTGGTGCTTATTTTATTTGACGACGATGATTCCTGTTGAAAGCGCAGCACACGATTTGCTTGAGAGATGAGTTTTTGCAGGACATATATATGTTTGTATGAATCCTTGGCTATGTTATCCGTTGAGTCGGGTATGTTCTAGAGGGGCGAAAGGAGAGACACAAATACTGGATTAGTAAGAGGGACATTGATATCGATTTGAATGAAAATCTTACGTTTACACCATAACCCTGTTGATAGCTGGGATTTGTATCCAGATAGGCCCAGGTCCACAGGCCAAAGAGTAGAACTGAAGATAAAAGCAGCAAAAGCGATATTTTACGACGCCAAACTAAAATGAAGATGTTTGTGTGCATCTGGAAAGAATTTGGAAAAGGGGGAAATTAGATAAAAATAACTACAAAAATAATAAAAAATGTTGAAAAATCGGCGTTTATTGTTGGGATGGTCCTTGGAAAAAATTCTTTGAAAATCCCAGTTAAATTGCTTTATTGTCCTTGGAAAAAATTATTTAAAAAATCCAAGTTAAATGGCCTGGTGGTCCCTGGAAAAAAACTTTAAAAATCCAAGTTAAATGGCCTACAGGTCCTTGGAAAAAATCTTTAAAAAACCAAGGTTAAATGACATAGAGGTCCTTGGAAAAAATCTTTAAATAATCCAGGTTAAATGGCCTGGAGGTCCTTGGAAAAAAATTCTTAAAAAAAATCCAAACCAAAATCCAAAAATCTTTGGAAAAAAATCTTTAAAAAATCCACGTTTATTGTTTGGATGGTCCTTCGAAAATTTTTTTTTAAAAAATCAACGTTTATTGTTTGGATGGTCCTTCGAAAAATTTTTTTTAAAAAATCCACGTTTATTGTTTGGATGGTCCTTGGAAAAAATTCTTTAAAAAATCCACGTTTATTGTTTAGATGTTCCCTGGAAATATTTCTTTAAAAAACCCACGTTCTTTTCTTAGTTAGTCCTTGGAAAAAATTCTTTAAAAAATCCACGTTTATTGTTTGGATGGTCCTTGGAAAAAATTCTTTAAAAAATCCACGTTTATTGTTTGGATGGTCCTTGGAAAAAATTCTTTAAAAAATCCACGTTTATTGTTTGGATGGTCCTTGGAAAAAATTCTTTAAAAAATCCACGTTTATTGTTTGGATGGTCCTTGGAAAAAATTCTTTAAAAAATCCACGTTTATTGTTTGGATGGTCCTTGGAAAAAATTCTTTAAAAAATCCACGTTTATTGTTTGGATGGTCCTTGGAAAAAATTCTTTAAAAAATCCACGTTTATTGTTTGGATGGTCCTTGGAAAAAATTCTTTAAAAAATCCACGTTTATTGTTTGGATGGTCCTTGGAAAAAATTCTTTAAAAAATCCACGTTTATTGTTTGGATGGTCCTTGGAAAAAATTCTTTAAAAAATCCACGTTTATTGTTTGGATGGTCCTTGGAAAAAATTCTTTAAAAAATCCACATTTATTGTTTGGATGGTCCTTGGAAAAAATTCTTTAAAAAATCCACGTTTATTGTTTGGATGGTCCTTGGAAAAAATTCTTTAAAAAATCCACGTTTATTGTTTGGATGGTCCTTGGAAAAAATTCTTTAAAAAATCCACGTTTATTGTTTGGATGGTCTTTGGATAAAATCCTTTAAAAAACTCACATTTATTGTTTGGATGGTCCTTGGAAAAAATTCTTTAAAAAATCCACGTTTATTGTTTGGATGGTCCTTGGAAAAAATTCTTTAAAAAATCCACGTTTATTGTTTGGATGGTGCTTGGAAAAAATTCTTTAAAAAATCCAGGTTTATTGTTTGAATGGTCCTTGGAAAAAATTCTTTAAAAAACCCACGTTTATTGTTTGGATGGTCCTTGGAAAAAATTCTTTAAAAAATCCACGTTTATTGTTTAGATGTTCCCTGGAAATATTTCTTTAAAACACCCACGTTTTTTTCTTAGTTAGTCCTTGGAAAAAATTCTTTAAAAAACCCACGTTTATTGTTTGGATGGTCCTTGGAAAAAATTCTTTAAAAAATCCACGTTTATTGTTTGGATGGTCCTTGGAAAAAATTCTTTAAAAAATCCAGGTTAATTGTTCGGATGGTCCTTGGAAAAAATTCTTTAAAAAATCCACGTTTATTGTTTGGATGGTCCTTGGAAAAAATTCTTTAAAAAATCCACGTTTATTGTTTGGATGGTCCTTGGAAAAAATTCTTTAAAAAACCACGTTTATTGTTTGGATGGTCCTTGGAAAAAATTCTTTAAAAAATCCAGGTTAATTGTTCGGATGGTCCTTGGAAAAAATTCTTTAAAAAATCCACGTTTATTGTTTGGATGGTCCTTGGAAAAAATTCTTTAAAAAATCCACGTTTATTGTTTGGATGGTCCTTGGAAAAAATTCTTTAAAAAATCCAGGTTAATTGTTCGGATGGTCCTTGGAAAAAATTCTTTAAAAAATCCACGTTTATTGTTTGGATGGTCCTTGGAAAAAATTCTTTAAAAAATCCACGTTTATTGTTTGGATGGTCCTTGGAAAAAATTCTTTAAAAAACCACGTTTATTGTTTGGATGGTCCTTGGAAAAAATTCTTTAAAAAATCCAGGTTAATTGTTCGGATGGTCCTTGGAAAAAATTCTTTAAAAAATCCACGTTTATTGTTTGGATGGTCCTTGGAAAAAATTCTTTAAAAAATCCACGTTTATTGTTTGGATGGTCCTTGGAAAAAATTCTTTAAAAAACCACGTTTATTGTTTGGATGGTCCTTGGAAAAAATTCTTTAAAAAATCCAGGTTAATTGTTCGGATGGTCCTTGGAAAAAATTCTTTAAAAAATCCACGTTTATTGTTTGGATGGTCCTTGGAAAAAATTCTTTAAAAAATCCACGTTTATTGTTTGGATGGTCCTTGGAAAAAATTCTTTAAAAAATCCACGTTTAATGGTCTGATGGTCCTTGGAAAAAATTCTTTAAAAAATCCACGTTTAATGGTCTGATGGTCCTTGGAAAAAATTCTTTAAAAACTCCACGTTTATTGTTTGGATGGTCCTTGGAAAAAATTCTTTAAAAAATCCACGTTTATCGATTGGATGGTCCTTGGAAAAAATTCTTTAAAAAATCCACGTTTATCGATTGGATGGTCCTTGGAAAAAATTCTTTAAAAAATCCACGTTTATCGATTAGATGGTCCTTGGAAAAAATTCTTTAAAAAATCCACGTTTAACGATTGGATGGTCCTTGGAAAAAATTCTTTAAAAAATCCACGTTTATCGATTGGATGGTCCTAGGAAAAAATTCTTTAAAAAATCCACGTTTATTGTTTGGATGGTCCTTGGAAAAAATTCTTTAAAAAATCCACGATTATCGATTGGATGGTCCTTGGAAAAAATTCTTTAAAAAATCCACGTTTATCGATTGGATGGTCCTTGGAAAAAATTCTTTAAAAAATCCATGTTTATCGATTGGATGGTCCTTGGAAAAAATTCTTTAAAAAATCCACGTTTATCGATTGGATGGTCCTTGGAAAAAATTCTTTAAAAAATCCACGTTTATCGATTGGATGGTCCTTGGAAAAAATTCTTTAAAAAATCCACATTTGTTGTTTGGATGGTCCTTGGAAAAAATTCTTTAAAAAATCCACGTTTATTGTTTGGATGGTCCTTGGAAAAAATTCTTTAAAAAATCCACGTTTATTGTTTGGATGGTCCTTGGAAAAAATTCTTCAAAAAATCCAGGGTTATCGATTGGATGGTCCTTGGAAAAAACTCTTTGAAAAATCCAGGGTTATCGATTGGATGGTCCTTGGAAAAAATTCTTTAAAAAATCCACGTTTATTGTTTGGATGGTCCTTGGAAAAAATTCTTTAAAAAATCCACGTTTATCGATTGGATGGTCCTTGGAAAAAATTCTTTAAAAAATCCACGTTTATCGATTGGTGCTTCGTCCTTCGAAAATATGGTCCTTCGAAAATATGTCTTTGAAAAATCCACGTTTATTGTTTGGATGGTCCTTGGAAAAAATTCTTTAAAAAATTTACGTTAAATGGCCTGCAGGTCCTTGGAAAAAATTCTTTAAAAAATCCACGTTTTTCGTTTGAATGGTCCTTCGGAAAATTCTTTAAAACATCCACGTTTTTTGTTTGGATGGTCCTTCGGAAAATTCTTTAAAAAATCCACGTTTATCGATTGGATGGTCCTTGGAAAAAAATCCTTAAAAAATCCACGTTTATTGTTTGGATGATGCTTGGAAAAAACATCTTTAAAAAATCCAAGTTTATTGTTTGGATGGTCCTTGGAAAAAATTCTTTAAAAATCCACGTTAAATGGCCTGGAGGTCCTTGGAAAAAATTCTTTAAAAAATCTACATTTTTGGGTCAGTTGATCCTTGAATTTTTTTTTAAATTCCACGTTTATGGGTCAGTTGGTCCTCGTTTATCCTTAAAAAATTCCTTATTATATTTTCCCCATTCGAAAAATTCTTTTTTAAGCCTTTCGAACATAACCTTTATTGCCGACATTTTACATGTAAATCCAATTACGATTTTGATATCACATGGGGGCATCATTTATCGAACGAACAATGCAAAATACATATCCTTTGTTAAATCTTCTGCCCGATTGGTGTATCCTTTTCAATGGCTAAACAAAATGTCAGCCAGTTTGTGGTTTTGTGGGCCATGGAAGAGACCAGGAATGAATGTGTGAAGTTCAGAAAAAAAAAAACAAGAATGGAAGCGAAAACCACAAAGGCCACTCAGCTCACAATACACCTGAGAACTGGCTGCTTTTTTTGTGGTTTGGAGCGGAAGTTTAGTTTCGGCTAAACGGAAATCTTTAAAAAAAACCCCAACAAAAAAAGCGAGACAAAAACAAACATGAAAACGTTTGTGTGGCATTATCCAATACAAATCTCCCGAGTACAATGACTAACACACTCACACATATACATTACACCATGTGTGTGATGTGTCTGTGTAGGGGACTATCTATAAATAGTTACATTTCCCAAATTTCCCCGGCCAAAGCCATAAACCATTTTGTTCCACATTTTCAAGTGAAGACTAGGTGGCTGATGTTGTTGTTGTTATTTTTGTTGTTGTTGTTGTTCCCAGATATGTGGATTATGGTCAACAATTGTAAGCCAAATACTTTGGTTGTTTGTCCAGCTCAGATTGTTGTTACTGATGCGATGGCTGGTGTTATCCACGTTATCCTCAATTTGCTGTTTTGTGTGATTTTCGTCCTTTCGTCCTTAAATACAAAACCCCAAACGGACATTCAACACAAAAACCGCAACAACAAAAGTTAGTCCTCATCGCCAGGAGGACAATATCAAATGGCATTACAGTGGTTCCACCACAAGGCAATAAAATCTAA